CAAATGTCATTTTAAGTTAAAACAAAAAAGCAAAAAGGGGAAGAAAAAAGGAGGAAGAAGAGAATTGTGAATGTATGTACTGATTATTTTACGACAACATTGTAAATTTTTATGCCACATTATGCGAATAAAACAGTGGAAGGTGAACCAGCAGAAAACAATGTTGCTTTATTAAGAATTCCTAATTGAAAACTTGTCAACTGTTTGACACCGCTCTTGGACCGCAAAGATTTTTGGTTAATTGTCCAATGCCGTCTGTTAATATGCATATATGCAAACAGTAAAATCCAGAATTTTTACTACAGCAGAAAAAAGAAAAAAAACTTTAATTGAAATGCTTTAACTGAGGTCAATTGGTGTATTTGTAAAACAGCATAATGTCGTCCTTTCTCTTCATCTACCTTCTGGGTAGGTAGATCGTAATTGCAGTTTCTTTTATAGTTCACCTGTTTAACTGTTTCTTAGGTTTTCCTGTTTCACTTTTACTGTAATATGCTAACAGATGTTATGAAACAGCTAACAGCTAAAACTAAATAGGATGCGATAAAAATTGTAAAAAAATTTTTTTGAATTGATAAAACACAGTTTTTTGACTACTGAAGTAATGTTTTGATTTCAGCTGTTACAGATAGATCATCACACGTCAATTGTTGGTATAAAACCGTTACTTAATTTAACACATCACTACTGTTAATGTTTTAACTCAGTTTTCTATGCAAAAATTTAGAAAAAAAAGACATGAAATTGAGTGATTGTTTAAGCAGTAAGAAATTTCAGCTGATATCGACAAATATGGTAAAAAAGTTATAAGAAACAAGCACGCAAAATACTTCAATTGGTCCTCGGTTATAATTATGTCAAAAAATTTAATCACTCTAAAATTAACAGCTTACTAAAGTGAGCTAAAATCATTGATAAAACTTTATTAGCGTCGCTGTTGATACATGATTCTTTTTGTTAATCAGAACTAAGTAGTAAACGCTAACTGCTTCTGCTTCGTATTCAGAGCAGAAGTGACAAAAAATACTTTAAAATCCCCATCAAAAGTTTAATCATTTTAAAGAAAATCTAAGCACTTATTTCTTTTCAGTTAGTCGGTATTGTATTGGTCATCATTAGTTTTGTGTTTCGATTTGGCCGTGGCTTTGGCGAATTTGCTAGGCATGCTGAAAAACACGACGATTTCCTGGAACTTCGTCGTCTAGATATCATTTTTGGCCTCTTTACAGCTGCCGGTATCATTCTGATACTGATGTGCCCCGTTGCAGTATATGCTGTCATTCGACAACGTCCAGTAACACTGAAATTAGTAACAATTTCTCATTTAAATGTTGTAGAATGAAAAAAAAATATATTGTCAAAATTTGACGAGATAACTATTGTCTAAATGCAGATAAGAACTGTTATATATACGGTATATATCGTTTTTTTTCTGAAAAAAAATTCATGTATAACTGAAAAGTTTTATGTGCAATCAATAAGTATTTTTGAACGGCAAAGCCACTTGCGCTATAGTTGTAAATTAAATCTGAAGAATTCGGGAATCTTTTTTTTCTGACTTATCACTATCAACATTTGTCAGTGACAAATGCACAGATGTTGCTGAATTAAGCACCAAATATGACCGGCTGTGATAAAGGTCGGAAAAAAAGTGATGCTTAAACATTTAAACCAGTTATTAATTTATATACAATTAACCAAGAAAAGAAAGAGGAAAAACAGGAAAAAACTGCTTCTAATTATTATTTTTAACATATATATGCTTTTTCTCTGCTTCTCAAAATTAAGAAACTACATCTACATGAATGTAGCGGTAGTATATATATATATATATAATTTCTTTTATTGTTAAATTGTTTCAGTAAAAATGGGCTTAAAGATGATCAAATATAAAAAACTCAACAATTTCTATTGACAGATATAGCCAAAAATATTCTGTT